CCAACTTGGACAAATCTGACAGTCTAGGGGAGGAAGTTGACGCAGCTTTTAATTTGGCCTTTAAGGAAGCCGGCTTCAACTTTCTCTCCGCTTCAGGCCGAGTCGACGTATCGTTCGAAGAATATATTTTCACCGGCTTAGGAGACCTTCCCGGCACAGATCCTGAGAACATGGCTGGGGAGTCGCTCACCCAAATGGCCAGAAGAAAGAATGCTGAGAAAATGACAGCCCGAAGGAGGGCCAAAGTCGCCAGGTTTGAAGCTCCTCTTGTTGTGGTTGAGTCTTCGCTGGAAAATGGCAGCCCGAAGAAGGGCCGAAGCCGTTAGGTCTGAACCCTCACCTGTTGTGGCTGAGTCTTCGTCTCCTGCTTTTTCTGAAGAAATGGAGCAAACTGTTATAGTCGAAACGGAGCAAATTATCATTGATCAGTGGGACAATCTAGTGGCCGAACAGAGGGGGGAAAAACGCCTCGCCAAGCATGAAGTCGACTCTTCAAAAAACCAGACTGATAAACGGCCGTGCGTTGAAGAGTCGTAGGACTTGGCTGCACCGTTTATCATACAACCAAAAATAAAGAATGTGCCGGTTGCTTCAGATGCTTCGGCTTTGAAGGACGCCGACGTGGCCTTAAGCGTGGCCTCGCCAATTTCTCTGCCGATTGACAGAGTAGCGTTCTGTGTAGAGTTAGATGTGGTGTCGATAGCATTAGCCGCTCAATCGACGATATTGGTACATAACTCAGACAAAATATTTCGTTCCTTTTTATGCCAGCTATCTTATTAATCCTTCGTTTACAAGCGGTGGGCAGGATCATAGAAATAGGTCGTCATTATGACGTCATCGAGCAAATCAGCTTGCTCAAATTCGAACTCGAAACTAAAAAGGGCAAGGCTGAAGAGGCCTCCTTTAGAGCCGAATCCGAGGCGGGAAAAGTGGCTGAAGAGCGAGCCAGGGCCAATGCCGAGGAAGAAAAGGCTAAATATTAAGATCAAATCAGGCAGGCCACCGAAGAAAGGGCGAACGCGAGCAAGGATGCGCTCAAGTTGGCCAAGGAGGTGATTGCCAAATTGGAGGCCGACTTGGCAGAATCGAAGAAGGCAAAAGAAATTGCTGACTTCGAGATCTCTAAGGTGTTCCAAGCCAGAGAAAACGCCGCTTTAGAAAAATACGTGGAGGAAGTGCCTAAGTTCAAAAATTAGGG